ATAGAAAAAATCTCAGTGGTTGATGGCACATTTTTCCATAAGACCACGACATATTTCATGTGCCTAGTTGTCACCCTCTGTCTTGCCCCAACACACTTTTGCTCCTCAGGAACACACTTAGCAAGTCAAATGTTTGCCAGGTGAGGAAGAGATCTGTAGGTTTTCAGCCAAACTGTTGGACCACAGGGACCCACCAAGATATCCTTTTTCCTCTTACTGATTCTCAGGGGTCGGAAGACAATGCTTCCTATAGGAATCGTTGTAACGTGGCAGCCCCACGTCAACCTATTTGATTAATCATATACTTAAAGTGGAGCTCCACCCAAAAGGGGAAGTTCCGCTTTAAGGACTGCTCCCCATTAAGGATTGGCACTTTTTGGGGGGGGGGGGGAGGCGGGTACCTGAATTTGACAGGTACCTGCTCCCACTTCCGGTCCGATCGCCTAGACGATTGGAAGTGGAAGGAGTCCTCCCCTCCCTGTAGTCTTTTGGGACACGTGACAGGTCCCAGAAGAATACAGAACCATTCATGAAGCGCAGCGCTACTCGCACATGCGCAGTGGGTACCCGGCTGTGAAGCCGCAAGCTATCACAGCCGGGTGCCCACACTGAAGATGCCGGCCTCCAGGAATACAGGATGTCCTGGTGGAACGAGCAGTGGGGGACACACCGCGGGACCGAGGGACAGGTAAGTGGCTGTTTTTTTTTTTTAAAAGTCAGCAGCTACAGTTTTTGTAGCTGCTTTTATTTTTTTACCGTTGAGTAGAACTCTGCTTTAAGTGTATGAATTGTGTTCACAATATATTAAAGACTCGAGGTTTTTTTTTTTTTCATGAATTCTATGCATGAAGGTAAAAACCTTCTGTGTGCAGCGGTCCCCCCAATACTTACCGGAGCCTCATCGCAATCCAGAGATGTGAATGACAGCCTCGGCTGTTGCAGGTCTCTGCCTTCTCATTGGTGAAGACAGCAAGTGGGAACCATTGGCTCCCACTGCTGTCAATCACAGCCAGTCAGCAAATGAGGAGAGAAAGGGGGCAGGGCCAAGCTGCGGCTCCGTGTATGAATGGACACACGGAGTAGCGGGCCCCCAAAGCAAGCTGCTTGCTGTGGGGGCACCCAACAGACAGAAGGAACCAAGAGAGCCTGAGGGGGTCCCGAGAAGAGGAGGATCCAGGTTGTTCTGTGCAAAACCACTGCACACAGTAGGTAAGTACAGACATGTTTGTTATTTTACACACAAAAAAAAAAACCTTTAGAATCGCTTTAAATAATATATTGGCTGCAAACAATTGTTTCCACAAGCTTCAAAATTACATTGCATAAATTATAACCAAAAATAAATATCACTGGTTATAAATGACAAATAAGAAACTTCAATAAATCAATAAACCAGTCTCTAGTGTTGGTTATATTCCATAAAGTAACTTTTTTTTCATCCACAATTCACCATATGTGTAAAGACATGCATCTTGAAAAACAATTCACAAAATAGTGTACCGTGTCTCCCACCACCTATCCTCCTATGTGCTCACCTCCAACTGTGGATCTGCCAGTGCTCAGATCAAAATGCACTTTCCCCTTTAATCACTTGCCTACCGGGCACTTATACCCCCTTCCTGCCCAGGCCAATTTTCAGCGCTGTCGCACTTTGAATGACAATTGCACGGTCATGCAACATTTTACCCATATGAAATTGTTATTTTTTTCACACACATAGAGCTTTCTTTTGGAGGTATTTAATCACTACTGGGTGATTTTTTTTTTTTTTGCGCTATAAACAAAAAAAAGCAAAAAATTAAAAAAAAAAAAAGTTTTTCTTTGTTTCTATTATAAAATTTTGCACACAGGTAATTTTTCTCCTTCACTTATGTACATTGATGAAGCTGCACTGATAGGCAGCACTGATGAGGTGACACAGATAGGCAGCACTTAAAATGCAGCAATGATAGGCACTGATGGGTGGTACTGACGGCACTGACTGGTGGCACTGCTGGGCACCACTGATGGTTGGCACTGCTGGGCACAGGTAGGTGGCACCGATGGGCACAGATCATAAGTGCCCTGATGATCAGTGCCAATCTGTTTTCTGACAATTGCTGGATATCAGAAGTACTTTCCTCATGCACAGACAGCGTGAGGAAGGTGCAGCCGATAACCGGCAACTGCATTTACTTGGTGATCTGCTGTGTCATTGGACACAGCTGATCATGTGGTAAAAGGCCGCTGTGACTAGCCTTTTACCATATCACGTGATCAGATGTGTCCGTAGGACACAGCTATCACAGAGATCGCTGGGGGTGCGCGTTCTTGGAGGATGTCATATGACGCCCTCCCAGAACTGGACAACCGTGCTGTAGCCGCCATTCGGCTATAGCCGCCCATTCGGCTATAGCATGGTCGGCAAGTGGTTCAGGGATTATTATACAGTATTTATATAGTGCCAAAAGGTTTGCTCAGCGCTGTACATTATAGTGGGATCAGTCCAAGGTTTCCCTTCGGAGATGTACCTCTCAATACTACTACTCACTATGCAACTTTTGATGATATGTACAGAATCTGGATTGCAAGGTGTATGGCCCTTTAAAAGATAGGGTGCCCCCCTTGCAGTCAACCTTCTGTGTTCACAACGCATCAGGCCAGACACTCAGCAGTAGACCCGGAAGATAGAGGAAATCACTGTAGTATCGATGTTTAATGCAATGGTTTCCAGCTTTCAGGGGCACAGGCCAGATATGGCATATACGTAATTACAATGGTCCATCGAGGATGAAATCAGTGTATGCAAAACTATACCATGCCTGGAATTCATCTATAAAGTGCATATATAATCTATTTCTTTGGAGTTATTGCAAATTAATTTAAGGTAACGGTGCAAAACAAGAACAGATCTTCAGGATCTGATCATAAAAGGGGTTCTTTCAGTCTAAAAAAAAAAAAAAATCAGCAGCTACAAATATTTCAGGTGGGGGAGGGGGGCATCAAACAGAACTTCCTTTTCTTTTTTTTAGGTGAAGTTCCAGTTTAAATTCTGAGATCCAATAATGATGCACTGCAATACAACAGAAGGAAAAACAATAGTAGAGCATTGCCAGCATGTGACAATTGTCTATTTGTAAAATAATGGGACAACAACAGAATCCATTTAGAATTATTAAGCCAATAAGCAATGTGAGAAATGCAAGACAAGACAAGACTACCGTATATACTCGAGTATAAGCCGAGTTTTTCAGCACATTTTTTGTGCTTAAAAAATGGCCCCCTCGGCTTATACTCGAGTCAACGTCTGCAGATGAAATGCCGTCCCTGTCATCTGGACACCCCCCCGGGATCAATCCTCGCCGCTCCCTCCCTCTCCCATGGTACACACTTACCGGTCAGATGTCTCTTCCTTCTCCGGCCGCTCTCCTCCTCTTCACTCGCTCGATCTTCGCGGTGCCGCTCGGCTCCTCCTCTCCAAGCTCCACCTCCTCGCCGGTGATTGGGCGCCTGTGTGCCTCTCCTGAGCTAAAGTTCCGGCGGCCAATCACCGGCGAGGAGGTGGAGCTTGGAGAGGAGGAGCCGAGCGGCACCGCGAAGATCGAGCGAGTGAAGAGGAGGAGAGCGGCCGGAGAAGGAAGACATCTGACCGGTAAGTGTGTACCATGGGAGAGGGAGGGAGCGAGCGAGCCCAGGCTGGAGCAGGGGTCACCAACGATGGGGCACTATTCCTCCCCCCACTGACACCAACGATGGGGCACTATTCCTCCCCCCACTGACACCAATGATGGGGCACTATTCCTCCCACTGATACCAATGATGGGGCACTATTCCTCCCACTGACACCAACCATGGGGCACTATTCCTCCCCCCCACTAACACCAACGATGGGGCACTATTCCTCCCACACTGACACCAACGATGGGGCACTATTCCTCCCCCCACTGACACCAACGATGGGGCACTATTCCTCCCACACTGACACCAATGATGGGGCACTATTCCTCCCCCACTGACACCAACGATGGGGAAACTATTCCTCCCACACTGACACCAATGACGGGGCACTATTCCTCCCCCCTCGGCTTATACTCGAGTCAATAGTTTTTTCCCAGTTTTTTGTGGTAAAATTAGGTACCTCGGCTTATATTCGGGTCGGCTTATACTCGAGTATATACGGTAATCAGCATTTATCTTTCATTGACCAGAACACTGGAGTTGTGCAGAAACAGAAATCTGGTCTATTTGGGTTTCTGCACTTTGCACCTGGTCATACCTCTTTGCTCCTGTTAATGAATTAGCCCACTTTACCCAACTATGAAGCAACTTGTACAGGGTGCAGCAACATAACTTCCTTTTTTGAAATGCGTGCCGTTCAGGCTGTAGCGGCCATAGCGAGGCGGAGTGGTCTCAGGCGACAGGCGTAGTTCTAAAGTTTTTGTTCTCTTCCAGGTCAGTCATCATCATGCGTTGGAACAGTGAGCAGCGTGATGATTGGATGAATTGATGATGAATGATTGATGAATTGGACTTAGGGGACATTTGGTTCCAACAGGATGGAGCAACGGCTCACACTTCAAGAGCATCAATGGCTGTTTTAAGGGAACACTTCCCGGAGCGCCTCATCTCAATAAGGGGCGATTTGGAGTGGACAGCCCGCTCCCCCGATTTGGCCCCTTGCGACTTTTTTTTTTGTGGGGTTTTTTGAAATCCCACGTTTATGTAAACCGTCCAAGGACCCTACAAGACCGGAAGGCCAACATCCGCGCAGAAATTGCCAACATACCCGCTGCTATGCTGGTAAGGGTCATGAAAAACGCCAGCAATCGGCTTATTCAGTGTATGGACAATGGGGGGCGTCACCTACCTGATATGATTTTCAGAACTGTGTAAAACAGAACTTTAGATATGTACCTACATTATTAAAGACAATAAAAACAATTCTGATTCATAAAATGGGTTTTATTGCGTTTTGAAAAAAGGAAGTTATGTTGCCGCACCCTGTATTATATAAAACTTACTTTTTCTTCTTTTTCTTGATATATTTCTCTTGGGCAAATTCAGTTTTGTCCCGGAAAGTCGTGCTGTTTTCTATAAGCTGTTGAACAATTTCCTAAAGGCAAAGAAATAAAAGGTTCCATTCTTAGCTGTGTACATAGACTTTTTGATACTACTTGCTTGAAAGAACATTTTCTCTACCATGTACCCGAGGCGGGTACTTCTCACAGGTACACATTCTCACTTTGCTTGCCAAACTGAGATAACAATTTACGGTTTTAGGAAGGAATAAATTATCTATGTAATGTGAAGCACAATGTCCAGAACATACTGGTCCAATGCCAAAGTATGCAACGTACAGCAGGGTTTAGCTCACCGAAGCATTTAAAATATGGCACAGCATACACCGTGGTGCAGTTTAGAGTATGTAACATATACCACAGCATATAGGAGTAGAGAAATCCTGCATAAAAAAAAAAAAAAAAAAAAAAAAAAAAAAACAGCCTTTAACCACTTGAGCTCCTGAGGATTTACCCCCCTTAATGACCAGGCCTCTTTTTGCTACTCGGCGCTGCACTAATTCAACTGATAATTGCGCGCGGTCATGCAATGCTGCACCCAAACGAAATTTACGTCCTTTTTTTCACACAAATAGAGCTTTCTTTCGTGGTATTTGATCATCTGTGTGCTTTTTATTTTTCACGCTATAAACAAAAAAAGGCCAAACATTTTGAAGAAAAACAATATTTTTTACTTTCAGCTATAAAAAATATATAGTAAACTCAAAGTTGGTTATAAATTTAGGCCAAAATGTATTCTGCTCCATGTTTTTGGAAAAAAAAAAATCCCAATAAGTGTATATTGATTGCTTTGTGTGAAAGTTATAGCGTCTACAAACTATGGTATAAATACTACAATTTATGCCATTTTTCTGCTATACAGCGCTGCACTAGTTTAACAGACAATTGCGCGGTCATGCAATATGGTACAAAAATGAAATTTACATCCTTTTTTTCCCCACAAATTGAGCTTTCTTTCGGTGGTATTTGATTGCCTGTGCGGTTTTTATTTTTTGCGCTATAAAAAAAAAAGGCTGACAATTTTGAGGAAAAAAAAAATAATATTTTGGACTTTTTGCTATAAAATATGTCCAGTAAAAAAAATGCAAAAATCAAATTTAGTCATAAATTTCTGCTAAAATGCATTCTGCAACATGTCTTTGCTAAAAAAAAAAAACAAAAAAAAAAAAACACGTGTAAATTAATTGGTTTACGTGAAAGTTATAGCGTTTACAAATGGCGGGAAAGATACTGGGATTTTTAGTTTTTTTTGTTATACTAATAATGGCGGCGATCAGCGACTTATGGCAGGGACTTATGGCGGGACTGCGGCGGACATTCTGACATTGGGGGGGTACTGACTTGGGGTCACTGACATCCCCAAAAACACTAATACAGTGATCAGTGCAAAAAAAAAAAAAAAAAAAAAAACACTGACACTGTACTAATGGCACTGGGGAGAAAGGGGTTAACTTTATTTTGCAGGGAAGGGTTATCTGTGTGAGGGGAGTGTTTTACTAGGGGGCGGGGTTGTGTGCTGCACGGGACACCGCTGATCGAGAGAGAGAGAAACTCTTCTCTCTTGATCAGCTTGTCCTCGAGCTGTCAGGGAAGTGACAGACAGCACAGCTACTGCAGCTGTGCTGTCTGTCCCTGTTTGCCGCCGATCGCTGGGAAACAGCCGGTAAGGACCAGCTGTGACCCGGCGACTGACATCCGCGGCGGTGATCGGCGGGACAGATAGGGCGGCGGCACGCCTCGCGCACGCCCCGTTTACAAAACACACGTTTTAAAACGTGGTTTTGCCTGCCCGTGCCGCCCTATTTCTACAGTGGCAGGGCGGCAAGTGGTTAAATACAGTATCTCACAGAAGTGAGTCCACCCCTCATATTTTTGTAAATATTTGATTCTATCTTTTCATGTGACAACACTGAAGAAATGACAATGTGATGTAGTGAGTGTACATAGTGGGAATGTACCAATGTGCAGAGGGGCCTTCAGAATTTCTAGTTTTTTATGGCCCACATCTGACATCTTTTTTTGTGCAGAGCCACTTGATAAATTGAAAAAAAGTTCCCCAGCTTGCAGCTTTGAGTATAAGGTCCTTATGTAGCTCTTTCAGCTGTTGGCAGTTCCCATTTTTTGTTGTTTTCTTGGGCATGTTAGTATTTATTTGCAGTGGTGCTCATCCTTCAGTTGAACTGCTTTTGGAAGGTGAGGGACATTCCCTCAATGGATGAGAAAATAAACAGGAATTTTATATTCGTCATAATATTTTGTTGCAATCCATTGAGGGGGATAGGTCCCCCCGCTCTGTGTTCATGATCATGCTCTTGGTACTACTGGCCACAATCATGCTGGGAGATGGAGCAATTAGCTTGGACCGGCCAACAGATTTTTTTTTTTTTTGCCAATGTTCAATCCTCCAGTAGGTGGGCAGTATAACCCAATGGTGATTGTCCGCATTATTCAATAAATGATTAAAATATAAACTATTTAAATTAATTTAGTGATCTGTCAAAAGTCACATGACCAGCTCTCCTCCATAGAATACTGCAGGTCCTACACAATGACTTGCATTTTATAAAGGGGCTGCTACATGCAGGGCACGGTATGCTGCAGGACTGCAGAGTGCAATGGAGCTGATAGCAATATCAGTTCTTCATAACAAGAAGCTCCTTTCATTGCTGTTCACTCAATTTGTTTTTATTATGGAGGACTTCTCCTTAACAAAGATAAAACTTAATTTAAAAGCCAAGTATCAATTAGGTAGACAGACCAGTTACATACAAACTTAAATTCATGTGTATAAAAACATACCTTTGTTTCCTACAGAGTCAAAGAAAAAACAAAAACCCACACAACGTGCAGAAAGCCTGACTCAATGGGGGATACATCAACATATGGACTGTAATGAACCCAAAATCTGTTTCCAATACATGGTGGATGCGATTCTCCAGGCAGGGCTGGAAAATGATCCAATTTTTATGCAGCGTGGCTCTGAATAGTGATTTTCCCAGAAGATTTCAGATTGAAAAGAAATTCTGTTTTCAGTAACGAACAAGAAAATAACAGCAGGCAAGAGTGCACACTTCTCAATAATGACACTTCATGATCAGTTAAAAACTATTAAAGTGTACACTGGGAACATAAAGAACTCCTATAAATCCACCGCTGGATGCTCAAGGTGTGTAGAATGTATTCATATCTCTGCTACAGAACAAGATCTGTGTTTAGTAAATGATTGTTCACAAAAAATATGAGTGCATCGTGATTTGAACTCACCTGGGGTGCTACATGTTGGGGAATCCTGGTAACGTAAAATGACCTAAAATTAGGATTACCTTTTTAAAAAGGTTGTATCCCATTTACTCTGGGGGGTTTCTATTGTACACATTTCCTGACAGCTTTGCAACTGAATGCAAAATATTATTTCTACAAAAGTTCAATTTTGGAACTGTAAAAAAAATAAAACTTTACATTTAATTGTAATAACATTTTAATAATTTTTTTACAGCCTCCAAATGGAATTTGTGTAGGAATATAGAGCAAGAAAGGGAAGGGATAGAGGGAAGGAAAGGGGAGGTGGGGGGGGAAAGGGGGGGGGGGGGAAAGGAGAGAGGGGGGGGGAAAGGAGAGAGGGGGGGGGGGGAAAGGAGAGAGGGGGGGGGGGAGAAAGGAGAGTAGGGGGGGGGAAAGGAGAGAGGGGGGGGAAAGGAGAGAGGGGGGGGGGAGAAGGAGAGAGGGGGGGAGTGCAAGAGGAGTGGAGAGGGGGGGAGGAGGAGAGGGGGGAGTGAGAGGAGACGGGGGGGGAAGGAGAGAGGGGGGGGGAGGAGAGAGGGGGAGGAGAGGAGAGAGGGGGGGGGGAGGAGAGAGGGGGGGGGGAGGAGAGAGGGGGGGAAGGGGAGAGGGGGGGAGGAGGGGGGAAGGGGAGAGGGGGGGAGGAGATGGGGGGGGGGGGAGGAGAGAGGGGGGAAGGGGGGAAAGGAGAGAAGGGGGGGAAAGGAGAGAAGGGGGGAAAGGAGAGAAGGGGGGGAGGGGGGGGAAAGGAGAGAAGGGGGGAGGGGAAAGGAGAGAAGGGGGGGGGGGGGGGGGTAAGGAGAGAAGGGGGGGGGGGTAAGGAGAGAAGGGGGGGGGGGGGGGGAGGATCGGAGAGGGGGGGGGGGAAGGAGAGAAGGGGGGGGGGAAGGAGAGAAGAGTGGGGGGGGGGGGGGGGGAAGGAGAGAAGGGGGGGGGGAAGGAAGGAGAGAAGGGGGGGGGGGGGAGGAGAGAAGGGGGGGGGGGAGGAGAGAAGGGGGGGGGAGGAGAGAAGGGGGGGGGGGGGGGGGGAAGGAGAGAGGGGGGGAAAGAGAGAGGGGGGGGAATGAGAGCGGGGGGGGGGGGGAAGAGAGGGGGGGAGAGGAGAGAGGGGGGAAGAGAGGGGGGGGGGGATTGTGGAGAGAGGGGGGGGAGGAGAGAGAGGGGGGGGGGAAGGAGGAGAGGGGGGGGAAGGAGAGAGGGGGGGAGGAAGGAGAGAGGGGGGAAGGAGAGAGGGGGGGAAGGAGGAGAGGGGGGGGGGGGGAAGGAGAGAAGAAGGAAGGGGGGGGGGAAGGAGAGAAGGGGGGGGGGGGGGGAAGGGAGAGAAGGGGGGGGGGGAAGGAGAGAAGGGGGGGGGAAGGGGGGGGGGGGGGAAGGGGGGGGGGGGAAGGAGAGAAGGGGGGGGGGGGGAAGGAGAGAAGGGGGCGGGGGGGGGGAAGGAAGGGGGGGGGAAGGGGGGGGGGGGGGGGAGAGAAGGGGGGGGGGGGGAAGGAGAGGAAGGGGGGGGGAAGGAGAGAAGGGGGGGGGGAAGGAGAGAAGGGGGGGGGGGAAGGAGAGAAGGGGGGGGGGGAAGGAGAGAAGGGGGGGGGGGGGGAAGGAGAGAAGGGGGGGGGGGGGGGGAGGAGAGAAGGGGGGGGGGGAAAGGAGAGAGAAGGGGGGGGGAGGAGAGAAGGGGTGGAAGGAGAGAAGGGGTGGAAGGAGAGAAGGGGGGGGAAGGAGAGAAGGGGGGGGGGGAAGGAGAGAAGGGGGGGGGAAAGAGAGGGGGGGGGGGGAGGCTGAGAGGGGGGGGGGAAGAGAGGGGGGGGAGAAGAGGGGGGGGGGAAGAGAGGGGGGGAGGAGAGAGGGGGGGGAGAGGGGAGGGGGGGAGAGAGGGGGGGGGAGAGAGGGGGGGGGATGAGAGGGGGGGAGAGAGAGGGGGGGGAAGGAGAGAGGGGGGGGGGAAGGAGAGAGGGGGGGGGGAAGGAGAGAGGGGGGGGGAAGGAAGAGAGGGGGGGGGGGAAGGAGAGAGGGGGGGGGAAGGAGGGGGAAGGAGAGAGGGGGGGGGGGAAGGAGAGAGGGGGGGGGAAGGAGAGAGGGGAAGGATGGGGGGGAGGAGGAGGAGGAGGGGGGGGAAGGGGGAAAGGAGAGAAGGGGGGAAGGAGAGGGGGGGAAAGAATTGAATGACAATTGAGCGGTCATACAACATTGTACTCAAACTAAAATTTTATCATTTTGTTCACACAACTAGAGCTTTCTTTTGGTGGTATTTAGTCACCACTGGGTTTTTTTTTTTTTTGCTAAATTAACAAAAAAAAGACTGAAAACTAAGAAAAAAACCAAAACAAAAACACGTTTCTTTGTTTGTTATAAAAGTTTGCTAGTAAATAATTGTTCTTCGTAAAAAACGAGCTTTGGCTGTACTTCACCTTTAAGATTTGACAATAAAACCTGGAAGCCAATTGGATTCTATGCAGAGCTGCACCAGATTTTGCACTCTCCAGTTTTAGTAAATCAACCCCATTGTGTAGATGTACCCAATAGGGTTTCCCCCATTTTCTTGATTTGTGCCATAAACCTCCTTAAAAAAATAAAATAAAATAATGAAACAAGAAAATGTACAAGGAAGCATTTACCCGGCACAAGCAGAGGCCAACTAGCCTAAGTTTGGCAGTTGTACATAATGGATGAGGCTGCTGTAAGCAAAATAAAAGGTAAAAGTGAAAAGGAAGCTAGAGTTATATGAATGTTAATGCAGCAAATTGAACCAACCTGGCCTTTAATGCCTTTTTCCTTCAATGCTTCAATGTCATCTCTGGTTAGTTTCTGAGATTTTCCATCGTCGATTATATTCCGGTTGTCAGCACCTGCTTCCTTAGGCTCTGGAGGGAAACAAATTAACTTCTAAATCAGGATGAAAAATGCAGCTACGCGAGTATGTTCTATATTCCAATGCAGGGAGTAGGAATCCATCTGGAACGGTTATTGATAAATAGGAGTTCCCTCAGCTGCAAGGCATGCTGGGACTTGTAGTTATTGATAAATAAGTCCATTCAGCTGAAAGGCATGCTGGGATTATTATTATTTTTTTTTTTTTTTTTACAGTCAAAAGAGGCACTTGGGTATCATTATTAAATATTAAAAATTACAGAACACAACCACTAAATACAACTCCAGTCTATATAAAACATGTTAATTGTTTTTAATGTTTTCAATGGCAGAACAAGTCTCCAAATATAATGTAGTAGCACTGCCCCAGATTTTGAATCAGATGGCCTTAGTGATGGAAAAAAAATCTAGAAATAAACCTCTTGGAAAAAACTCCATTTCCAAGAGGCTTTCAGGACAGCATACGAGACGGCAATGCTGGGTATCAATCCCAGTAGGGAAGGACCTGGGGATTGCTGACAGGCCTTGGGTTCCGGCTTGTAGAACGCGAGGAGAGGGCTTCTGGCTGGCCACTCAGTTTCAGGCTCCATCACAGAGGCATGACCCCTGAAGCCTAGGCATTAATTTAGCCATTAGGCACCACTGTGCCTTCAGCCTCAGGTATCTAAGGAGTTGGTATTGGTGATTACAAGCGCCAGGTTTGCTTAAAGTGGAACTTTAGTAAAAAAAAAAAAAAAAAAAAGTCCTGCTAGATCACTTCATGATGGTCCATTTGCAGGTATAGCTATGTAAAATATTAATTCCAGTAACACACTGTCTCACCCTGCTCTGCCCATGCTCAGTTGCGCTCTATTTTTAGGCACTGCTGAATCTGCAGAAGCCGATCTGCTGACAGCCTTGAAGCGGAATTAAACCCTCCTATCCTTTACAGCCAAGGAAGCTGCTTCTGTTTGATCTGCAACTGCCATGGTGATGCACATGTGATCCGTTATGACTTCAGCCATTGATGGTTTGACAGTTTGGCTGAGAGCACAATCAAATGTGACAGTTAGCAAATCCAGTATTCCAGTGACTGTGACTGTTTTTTTAAATCGATGGGTTTATGCAGGCCATAGATGGGTCGAAAATCAGCCAATTTTTTGGCCGAAAAACAAAATTGCCCGATTTTCGCACCGTTTGTGGGTTAATTGGTTGGCTGTTTTTTCAGGGTTTTGGCACTTTTTTTTATTGGTAAAGTTGGAAAAAAAATCATCTGATTTTGCCGATCGGGCCGATTTTCCCGGCAATGATGGGCAAATCGGCTGATCGTTTTACCAATAAAAAAATCTACGCATGAGCCGTGATCTGGAAGAAGAAGAAGAAGGAAAAAAAGAAAAAAAAAGAAAAGAAAAAGAAGAAGAAAGAGGAAGAAAGAAGAAGAATTCCAGTCCGCTATTATATTTGACATGAAAAAGTATTGCGGTTGCAACAATGTATCTATTTGTATCCGACTAAAACCATCTGTATCTGAAATGGATACAAATAGATACATTGTTGCAACCGCAATACTTTTTCATATCAAATATAATAGTGGAGCTCTCTGCAGGGACAGAAGTAATTAAAATGCCGGCTGTAGACGGGACGAAAATCAGCCAATTTTTTTTACCAGTGGTGGTAACGTTGGCCTATTGAACGACCGATTTTTAGTTTTTTTTTAAAAACGGACGGTTTTCGACTCGTCTAAGGCCTGCATAAGTTCTGCTTTATGATTTGATTTACTTCTGTTAGGGGGCTCTGGGCTTCAGCAAAATGGTGGCCTCCACCAAGAAAAAAACAGGAACAATGCTGGAGGCATTTTACAGCACACACACTAATTTTGGTGGCAGAATTAGTAATGTGGAATGTGTGTTGCTTGCTAAAGAACATTTTTTTAAATCACGTTATGGGTAAAGTTCCACTTTATGTAAGAAGGGGACTTCAAATATGTCATCTACTTACCTATGTTGGGAGTTTGTGGTTTGACCTCTGACCTTTTCCCCTGTTGGACCTTTATGGTGGCCCCTTGTAGTCATGTTTTGGTACGTATGGCTCTCTTCCCAGCACCACAGTGTATTGCTGTTGCTAGGCGTAATGGTCAAACAAACCCGAGTTATTTCTGTTTTTCAAGGTCCAACTCCTGATACAACCCAACTTGCTCTAGTTCCTTAAAGGAGCCTTGTTCTTGTAACTTGAAGCCCAAAGCCATCCATCGTTTGTGCCACCTAATTCTACTCCCTCTGCTTCAGTAAGAATTGTGACAACAGTGGAGGAGCGGTACATGTTACAATCCTTACGGAAGTAGACGGAATGGAAGCAGGCAGCTCAAAAGATGGATGGCTTTGGGGTTCAAGGACAGAGAGCAAAGCTCTTTTTAGGAACTGAAGGAAGTCAGGTTCCATCAGGAGTATTGTACTCAAAAAACAGAAATCACTCCGCTTTCTTTGACCATTACCCCTAGCAACAGCAATACACCCTGGTGCTGGGAAGACAGAGCCAACCATGTCAAAACACAACTACAAGGGACCATTGTAAAGGTCTACGAATGTGAGTGGTTAAACCATAAACACTTAAAATTTGTAAGTGGATGCAGTAGTGTATTTACCTCTTGCGCTGCCCTAGGCAACACTAAAATTGCACCGCTGCCCATAAGGGAATTCCAGCCTGTGTGCAGCGGTGGTGAAGAGGGCAGCTCTGGGTGAAGAGCAGCTTTGGAGGGAGAGGATGGGAGAGAGGTACCACGGCATGAAGGATGTCACGGCCAGGGCAGCCTGTTCCTCAACTACCACCAAGGGGATGGCTTGCTCCTGCCAGGACAGGTAAAACGGCCCGGTGTGCATGGGCAAAAGCCGGGAACCTGCAGGCAAGACGGTGGGGGCAGCAGGGAGCTCAGATGAGCTTGTAGGGGAAGCTGCTATTTTATGACACTTAGCCAAACAAAGCTGGTGCCACTGGTGCCTGCAGTCACAGATGCCGTCTCCTCCGATACATGATGAGGGCACAGTGGTGCATAGGAGCTACCTAAATGCCCAGGGTCCTGGGTTCTCATCCTTGTGACATATCCTGGAACCTAAAGTGGCTAGTCATAAGCCTGCTCCCCCTCCACACATTCTATGAGCCTGAACGCAGAGTCCCCAGGTCCTGTCCCTACCAGTAGTGGCACCCGGAATTGCCAGGACAGTTTGGGAAAAAAAGCCAATTCTAGAAACCAGCCTTCGCCACTCTGCTGAGATGGCCAAATTCTAGGCCATTCCGACCAGTAAAGCTCCAAGACTTCCGGTTAGCATCCGCTCTCGGCACACCTGTATTGGCTTATTATGGTGGGCTACCTCAATGTCCCACGGTTGGATGTCACGGCCAGGGCAGCCTGTTCCTCAACTACCACCAAGGGGATGGCTTGCTCCTGCCAGGGACAGGTAAAACGGCCCGGTGTGCATGGGCAAAAGCCTGGAACCTGCAGGCAAGACGGGTGGGGGCAGCAGGGAGCTCAGATGAGCTTGTAGGGGAAGCTGCTATTTTATGACACTTAGCCAAACAAAGCTGGTGCCACTGGTGCTGCAGTCACAGATGCCGTCTCCTCCGATACATGATGAGGGCACAGTGGTGCATAGGAGCTACCTAAATGCCCAGGGTCCTGGGTTTCTCATCCTTGTGACATATCCTGGAACCTAAAGTGGCTAGTCATAAAGCCTGCTCCCCCTCCACACATTCTATGAGCCTGAACGCAGAGTCCCCAGGTCCTGTCCCTACCAGTAGTGGCACCCGGAATTGCCAGGACAGTTTGGGAAAAAGCCAATTCTAGAAACCAGCCTTCGCCACTCTGCTGAGATGGCCAAATGCTAGGCCATTCCGACCAGTAAAGCTCCAAGACTTCCGGTTAGCGTCCGCTCTCGGCACACCTGTATTGGCTTATTATGGTGGGCTACCTCAATGTCCACGGTAGGTTGGGACTAGTAAACGTTGGCACTATCAGGAAGTGCAGAATCTTTGTTTATTGGAATGGCCTGCATCGCGGCTGTAATGATGGGGTTTTGAGGAAGGCTGCTGAAGGCATAGCAGTGTATTTAATACTAGAGAGCCTTTTAAACTTGTTCCTGCCAGCGTTACACCTATACGTGGTGTTATGGAGGTGTGCCTGCTTCTGTGGTGCTGCATATACACTATATTGCCAAAATTATCGGGACGCCTGCCTTTACACACACATATGAACTTTCAGTTCATGTCTTTCATCCCAGTCTTAGTTCATAGGGTTCAATATTGAGTTGGCCCCGCCCTTTGCAGCTATAACAGCTTCAACTCTTCTGGGAAGGCCGTCCACAAGGTTTATAGTACATACAAAGTGAACAACTTCACAGTCTCATGCACTCAGAAGTAACACCAACAGCTTGCAGTAGGCTAGATGTTAATCTTGTATCTGCCAGAAAATGCCTCATCTCGCTGCCCTCTCAAGACTGGGAAGAGGAAAAGAGGGTGTACCAGCCCAGTGCATTATCCTCAAGGCTTCACTTTATTAATAAAAAAAAACCCTGTCCCCAAGGTTTAGGAGGGTGTCTATTGGAAGGTTGGACCATTCTTCCAGAAAACATATTTGTCAGGTCAGGCACTGATGTCGGACGAGAAGGCTTGGCTCACAGTCTCCGCTCTAATTCATCCCAAAGGTGTTCTATGGGGTTGAGGTCAGGACTCTGTGCAGGACAGTCAAGTTCCTCCACCCCAAACTCGCTCATTTATGTCTTTATGGACCTTGCTTTGTGCAGTGGTGTGCAGTTATGTTGGAACAGGAAGGGGCCATCCCCAAACTCTTCCCACAAAGTTGGGAGCATGAAATTGTCCAAAATGTCTTGGTATGCTGACGCCTTAAAAGTTCCCTTCACTGGAACTAGGGGGCCAAGCCCAACCCCTGAAAAAACAGCCCCAGACCATAATCCCCCCTCCACCAAACTTTACACTTGGCACAATGCAGTCAGGCAAGTACCGTTCTCCTGGCAACCGCCAAATCCAGACACGTCCATCGGATTGCCAGGCAGAGAAGCGTGATTCGTCACTCCAGAGAACACGTCTCCACTGCACTAGTGTCCAGTGGCGGCGTGCTTTACACCACAGCATCCGTTGCTTTGCATTGCACTTGGTGATGTAAGGCTTGGATGCAGCTACTCAACCATGGAAACCCATTCCATGAAGCTCTCTAGGCACTGTTGTACTAATCTGAAGGCCGCACGAAGTTTGGAGGTCTTTAGCTATCGACTCTGCAGACAGTTTCTGACTTCTGCGTACTGTGCACTTCAGCATGCGCTGACCCCGCTCTGTCATTTTACGTAGCCTACCAATTCATGGCTGAGTTGCAGTTGTTGCCACTTTGTTCTAATACATCTAAAAGTTGAGCGTGGAATATTTAGTAGCCAGGAAATGTCACGGATGGACTTATTGCACAGGTGGCCACCTATCACAGGACCACGCTTGGAGTCACTGAGCTCCTGAGAGCGACCCATTCTTTCACCAATGTCTGTAGAAGCAGTCTGCATGCCTAGGGGCTTGATTTTATACACCTGTGGCCATGGAGGTGATTCAACACCTGAATCCAATGATTTGGAGGGCAGGGCCAATACTTTTGGCAATATAGTGTGTGTGTGTTTCTGTGTTTGCGTTGGAAGCACACTCCATAGCATATTCCCAGCATTAAGATGAAGTGGTCACCGACAACCCAAGTCGCAAACTATTGGAAGGTGAGAGGACTGGATCCCAATCACACAATCATTATTATAGCCTATCAAGTTGATCATTCTCCACAAAATCTCCCACTGTACTTTCCCCCTCTAAACAGAGAAAGAGATAAATATAATGCATCCATTTATCAGGAATCAGCCAAAATTCACTGTGTATTATTATACAGGATTTATATATTATTATTTATACAGGATTTATATATTATTATTATAATACAGGATTTATATATTATTATTATACAGGATTTATATATTATTATTATTATACAGGATTTATTATATATTATTATACAGGATTTATATAGTGCCAACAGTTTGCTCAGCGCTTTACAATATAAGGGAGATAATACAGCAACAATACAGTTCAATACAAGAGGGATAGGAGGGCCTGATCCTGGGAGCTTACAATCTAGGAGTATGGCCAGTTTTACTGTCTGCGCCTGCACAGTGAGTGCGCTCACAGCACAAAAACCTCGCCCCCCCCCAGGGGACGAACATATGGGCGTTATGATCCACCCTCCCTGTTGTTGCACATGTGCGTTACATGGTCAGCAAGAGCCTAAACTTGAGACATCAACTATACCTGCCGCTGCAGCTTCGCTTCTCTTTGTTTGAAGATTTCCACCTCCAGTTATCTCAAACGTTGTGCCATAATGTTTGCCGATAGCGTTATCCAAATATATCCATTGTTTTTCAAATATTATTTTCCTGCAAAAAATAAAATAAACATTACGTGGAAATTGCCTTTGAAGGCTCCCTACCTGATCCTCCACTCTTGCAGCAGATGGTGCTCCCCTATGCTCCAGCAGTGGGCTGTTCTTTGCCATCCTCACATCCAAAGCAAGACTCTACACCTTGCATTGGACTTGGTAATGTCAAAGGGCCTGCAACTGCTATAGTGTGGGGGAGAAGAGCCTGCGGGGACTGATCAAATGGATAACAGAATGGAACACAGTATAGAAAAGAAATAGGAATTTTGGACTGGATACAGTGTGGACAGAGAACTGGAATGGGTTGCCCAATTTCATGGGCCCCAAGGGGCACTTGCTCTTTCTGAAGCTCTAGAAGTTATGCCCTAGATTGCCATTTTACGTTGAGATTTAGAAGAAATCAAACCATAAACATAACGGCATAAAACAAAACCCATGTTAATAAAGTGCATAGATAAGAAAGTAAATGTCATCTACTATACTACTCTTCTCTGCAGAAGCTGTAAGTGAAAACAACTGCAAGGAGTACTTAGATCAGTGGTTCTCAACCTGTGGGTCGCAACCCCTTTGGGGGTTGAACGACCCTTTGACAGAGGTCCCCTAAGACCATCAGAAAACACATATTTCTGATGTGTAAAGAGCAGCTACTGTGTAGAAAGCAGCTGCTGTGTTGAAAGCAGCTACTCTGTAAAAAGCAGCTACTGTGTTGAAAGCAGCAGTATTGGAGGTAAAACGACACTCATGAATTATAATTACTGGGTAAATAATTTTATGGTTGGGGGTCACCACAACATGAGGAACTGTATTAAAGGGTCACGGCATTAGGAAGGTTAAGAAACACTCACTTAGGCCCTTTGCACACGGAGGCGTCTTCAACTGGGCACCAACACCATAACATCCAATGACGATCTAGGGCTAAGATGCACAGCGTCATTTATTGGTATGGTGATGACAGCCAGGTCACCTGCACCTTGGCAATGCATGACTTATCTAGGGCAGGTGGCATTTAGGGCCATGAATCACAGCATCATTTGCTGCAATACTGGCCGGCTTGCCTGCACTATGCCAATGCATGACTTTGATCCGGGCCAGGCGGCATTTAGAGTCAGGACGAACACTGTCATTTGTTGCTATGTTGGCAACAGCCAGCTTGCCTGCACCATGGCAAATGCATGACTCTGATCTAGGGCAGGCGGCATTTATGGCCAGGATGCACAGCGTCATTTGTCGCTATGATGGTGACAGCCAAGTTGCCTACACCATGGCAATTCATGACTCTGATCAGGGCAGCTGATATTTAGGACCAATGGGCACAAGGTCATTGCTGCTAGGGGTAGCGATGGCCAAGCTTGCCTGCACCGTGGCAAATGCATGACTCTGATCCAGGGCAGGCGGCTGGCCAGGATGCACATTTTGTCGCTATGATGGGACAGCCAGGTTGCCTACACCATGGCAATTCATGACTCTGATCCAGGGCAGCTGATATTTAGGGCCAATGGCACAAGGCTTGCTAGGGTAGCGATGCCAGCTTGCCTGCACCGTGGCAAATGCATGACTCTGATCCAGGGCAGACGGCATTTATGGCCAGGATGCACAGCGTCATTTGTCGCTATGATGGTGACAGCCAGGTTGCCTACACCATGGCAATGCATGACTCTGACCCAGGGCAGCTGATATTTAGGACCAATGGGCACAAGGTCATTGCTGCTAGGGTAGCGATGGCCAGCTTGCCTGCACCATTGCAATGTATGACTGATCCAGGGTAGGTGGCATTTAGGGCTGGGACGCACACTGTAATTTGTTGCTATGGCGATGACAGCAAGCTTACCAACACCATGGCAATGTAGGATTCTAATCAAGGGCAAGTGGCACTTATGGCCAGAATGCACAGGGTCATTTGTCGCTATGGTGGTGACAGCCAGCTCGCCTGCACCAATGCAATGCATGAGTCTGATCCAGGGCAGGCAGCAATTAGGTCCAGGAGGCACAACATTATTTGTTGCTAAGCTGACGATGGCCACCTTGCCTACACCATAGCAATGCATGACTCTGATCCAGGACAGCTAAGATTTAGGACCAGTGGGCACAAGGTCATTTGTTGCTAGGGTGGCGATGGCCAGCTCACCTGCATCATGGCAATGCATGACTCTGATCCAGGACAAGCGGCATTTAGGGCAGAAGTCTGCCTCCTCCACACCTGATGCCCTCTGCCGCTCAGCTGGAGCCAAAAGAAAGTGCTATGATTTGGGGGGGGCGCAAATATAAATGGGGGCTTCTGATAAGAATTTGAGTTCATAAAGGTGGTTTTTCCACTGAGAAGTAACTTTTAAGTTTTTTTTTTTTTTTTTTATATATTTTAGACTTGGGTGCCTCAAGATTTTGCATACTCTTAAAGGATGCTGCAACTGCAAAAAGGTTGAGTAATTTTGTATTAGAAAATTGAACAAATTCTGCTGGTCTACAAACAGCTTTAAAAAAAAAAGTACATACCCATGATGAAATGGTTGTTGGTAGTGGTGCATCAAAATAAAGATTTTGGACATAAACAAAAAAATTCAGGGTGCATGTGGCCGAAAACCGAAACAGACAGTTTAAAAAAACTTTTTAAATTAATATCGTAAATTTAAATGAATAGGAGTTTATTTTCAGCACCTTCTTGGCCAGTTTTTGAAGTGATTTTGTGTAAAAAAACAAAACAAAAACTCAAGAAAAATGCATCCCTTTAAAGTGTTACTAAACCCCCAACAGTACAATCAGTCTGTAGATGCAGTAAAGCATGCTTGTTATACTCACTGAGGAACCTAAGGGGTTAATCCTCTGCATTGTGTAAAAAGGCTGTTAGATCCTGTCTTCTCTGCCCCTTTTGTTGTAATGACCACCTGATACAGACTGAATCCATAGTCACACACACATGCTCAATTTGGTGTGTATTTATAGAGAGGTTTTTTTTTTTCTTGGGAGAGTGCATGTGATCAGCAAAAGGCCAATCAGCACTGTCCAGACAGAAGGTCAAGGGTTTCACATCCTCCTAGAGCAGAAAGAAACAGTGAAGGAAATAAGTATTTGCTCCCCTGCTGATTTTGAATGTTTGCCCACTCACAAAGAAATGATCAGTCTAACAACCCAATGGTAGGTGTATTGTGATGATCAGTCTAAAAATCGAATGGTAGGTGTATTGTATTACTGAGAAACAGAATAGCAACAAAAAATTCTAAAGAAATGCATGTCTAACAAATGATGACTGATCTGCATGTTCATGAGGGAAATAAGTATTTGATCCCCTTCACAAAACATGACTAGTATTTGGTGGCAAATCCCTTGTTGGCAATTACTAAGGTAAGACGTTTCCTGTAGTTGGCCACCAGGCCCGCACACATCTCAGGAGGGATTTTGGCCCACTCCTCTTGGCAGATCCTCTTCAAGTCATTAAGGTTTGGTGGCTGATGTTTGGCAACTCGAACTTTCAGCTCCCACCACAGATTTTCAATCGGATTAAGGTCTGGAGACTGGCTAGGCCACTCCAGGACCTTAATGTGCTTCTTCTTATGCTACTCCTTTGTTGCCTTGGCCGTGTGTTTTGGGTCATTTTCATGCTGGAACACCCATCCAGACCCATTTTCAATGCCCTGGCTGAGGGAAGAAGGTTCTCACCCAAGATTTGATGGTACATTGCCCCGTCTATCGTCCCTTTGATGCAGTGCAGTTGTCCTGTCCCCTTAGCAGAAAAACACCCCCAAAGCAGAATGTTTCCACCACCATGTTTGACAGTTGGGATGGTGTTCTTGGGGTCATAGGCAGCATTTCTCCTCCTCCAAACACGGCGAGTTGAGTTGATGCCAAAGAGCTCAATTTTGGTCTCATCTGACCACAACACTTTCCACCAGTCCTTCTCTGCATCATTCAGATGTTCAGTGGCAAACTTCAGACGGGCCTGGACATGTGCTTTCTTGAGCAGAGGGACCTTGCGGGCACTGCAGGATTTCAGTCCTTGTCGGCGTAGTGCGTTACCAATTGTTTTCTTGGTGACTGTGGTCCCAGCTGCCTGGAGATCATTGACAAGATCCTCACGTGTAGTTCTGGGATGATTCCTCACTGTTTTCATGATCATTGACACTCCACGAGATGAGATCTTGCATGGTGCACCAGACCTAGGGAGACTGACAGTTGTTTTGTGTTTCTTCCATTTGCGAATGATTGCACCAACTGTTGTCACCTTCTCCCCAAGCTGCTTGGCCATAGTTTGGTAGCCCAGTCCAGCCTTGTGTAGGTCTACAATCTTGTCCCTGACATCCTTGGACAGCTCTTTGGTCTTTGCCATGGTGGAGAGTTTGGAATCTGTTTGATTGCTCCTGTGGACAGGTGTCTTTTATACAGGTAACAAAATGAGATTAGCAGCACTCCCTTTAAGAGACTGCTTCTAATCTCAGCTTGTTACCTGTATGAAAGGCACCTGGTAGCCAGAAATCCTGCTGAATGATAGGGAATCAAATACTTATTTCCCTCATGAACATGCAATCAGTGCATCATTTGTTAGATATGCATTTCTTTTGAATTTTGTTATTCTGTCTCTGTGTTACAATACACACCGAACATTCAATTTTTAGACCGATCATTTCTTTGTGAGAAGGCAAACATTCAAAATCAGCAGGGGATCAAATACTTATTTCCTTCACTGTATTTCCTATCAGCAAAATGCCAATAACACCATTTTCGACTGATACAACAGCAGGCGATATTTCGGTGAATCCCTAGCTGTAGATGTTTTTTCATGGTGCCCTTTTTATTAACCTCCTTGGCGGTATTCCCGAGTGTAGCTCGGGGTAAAATGTCAGTGCCAAAAGCGGTAACCCCGAGCTACACTCGGGCTTACCATGCGGCGCTGCATAGGGAGTCCCAGCAGAGCTTACCTTGTCCTCGCTCCCGCGATGTGTCCCCTGCAGCATCCCCGGCCATCTCCTCCGGCCGATGCCGGCATCAGGCTTCTGTGTTCTGGTCCCT